AAATAAATCATTTATTTTTTTCTCCTGGTTAAGCATCTCCAAAAAAGAAAAAGTCCTTCTCTCTTGTTAGTTTCATGAAAATATTCTCCAGTTTAGTTAGCTCATTTACTTGTGTGGGGGAGGCAAATTAAAACAAAGAAACAAAAAAGCAGTTCTAAAGATGGTGAGTGCGTGTTTTATAACAGTAGCTACATCCAGGCACCATTTTCAAGAAACTATGCAACATTTTCCAGCAAGAACAAGTGTTTTCAAAAATGAAAAAAATAAAAATAAAAATCCAGATAGCAAGTAAATCTGTGCCTCTGCTTTTCCTGCATTTCACGTAGATTACCTGCTTTACCGTATAAGAAGATGCAACAGAATTTAGAGCTATCCTATTTACACGTGCCCGAGACGGAAAACTAAAGCCTTTGCAGGATCTGCTTCCCTACAGGAGCAACAATTTTGGAACATGTGCCTGGGTAGTCCTGTACCTGTAGCACCCTCTGCTGCTTTTTCAGTTCCAAAACATGTAATTGTACGCTTGGTCAAGTAGAAAAGAAAATTAATATGTATTGAACATATTGCTTCCTGAAAGTAGTTATATTATTAACTGATGCTACTGGCAGTTTACAAGAAAATGGTTTTGCTATTATCTAAAGTGTATTTGTGATTTTATAAGAGTTGAGAACTCTAGAATAGCTTGTTTCCGTGTTAACATCAGGTAGATACCAGATAAAAATCCCAAAATGTGCTGTCTTTCACTGCTTAAAATTTTCCCTTACAGACACTGCAGCTTGCTTAGACCAGTGGCAGTTAGTAAAGAGGATTTTAATTTGGCCCTTGATCGTTTCACTTAATTTAAATGTATGCATAATTTGAAATTATTACTGCAAGGATATAATTATACAAGCATTTCGATCATAACTGCTTTCTCCCACTAGGAGAGGCAGGGGAAGGTGACACTCTCAAAAGCCAATTCTTGGAGAGTTTCCTTGCTTTCCAGACAGTGTTGCAGAGGAGACTTTTCTTCTGCAAGGATGAGCATGGCACATGGCTCCTGAAGCCAGCTGATGCTATCCCACAATGCCATCACTGAACCTTCTGCCTGGGATCCATCAGTTCTTTGAAAGGACTATCTTAAGACTAGAGATGGTTTCAGGATGTGCCATCTTTTTAACAGATGGCATACTGTTGTCTAAACCAGAGACTGATCCTTTCCTTCATTCCAGTCCTCTTTTCCCTGCTTCCTGTTTATACACAGAGTTAAAGCTGAACATTTAGCATTGCATTCTATCTGTAGAGAATTCATTTAGAGTTTTCACATGGAAACTGCTCTCATGAAGGATGAACAGAAGAGAAAACAAAAAAAAAATCACATTTTTCTGGGAAAGTGAAAACCAGTTGTAATTTGTAGTGTGAATTTTCATTCACAGTAGCAATCTTACCCTGAAAAATGCATCTTCAGAAATCTTCTGGAAAAAGAGCGAATACAAGCTTAGGTACCAAGTTTGAACCAGACATCGTGCAGAGGCGGTTTATAGGGCTAACACTTGGGACCCTGCAATACACCATTTACAGCTACTGCAGGTGACTCCACTTTTGTCCTAAAGACTTTCTGCTATAAAGCAGCACTTCTGGAAGCAGTCCCAAGTCTTCCTCAAAAGCTGCTTATTGATATTTTATATAATGCTGCCAGCTAGTGGCATATCTTGTACTGGGACTGTAGAGAAAGCGTTATTAACTAGAGTCTGCTTTACCACTCTTCTTTCGATGGTGCATGGTGATGTGGCTGTTAATGTTATTATCTCTTAAAAATAAAAATATCTAGTAATGCTCCCTGAAAAAGCTTTCTTTAAAACGAGGTACTTAGGAACATGACTAGAAGAAACAATAAACTCACCTCAAAACCACACAAACCACGTTATTTTAAACAAATTATGTTTAAAATGGTGTAATATGTGAAATGTTTCAGGTTTTAAAAATCTAATCTACGTAATACACAGCTTTTTCATAATCCAATAATCACTAGCAAAACACGAATCTTCCTGATAGATACTCAGTATGGCAGCCAAAACAAACACATGGGATACTAAAACTCTTTTCTGATAACTCCAAATCATTTAAGTTTAGTGCTCAATAAATAAGTTCTGACTCTGCAGTGTATCCTAAAGAACACTGAAGTCTGCAATATTCAATGGGTCCCCTTAAAAAGCATGCTACTGCAGATGGGAGTGATGATACTGGCTAGTTCCATTAGTATTAGGTATTAGAAGAAATAATCTAATACCATTAAAGACCAATATAGGCATGTTTTTTTAGGGTAGAGTATCATCTGATAATACTAAGTTCTTGAAGAACCCCACAATACTTGTGAAAAATAGGCAACGCAATTTTACAAATACTACAACTGCCCTTACCTTTGGGGGTAAAAGGAGGGAGGATTACTACCTACCATTTCCACTGTGGGTTAACACAAAAAGAGACAAGAAATACACAGAAAAAGGTCAAAGAAAGAGCCAATTCACATCAAGGAATTATGGGAGTGCACACAAATTCAGTCAGTTATGATTCAAATAAAGCAGCTCAGTAAACACAGGACTGAGGGAACTTTACTATGATGGTGCAACAGATACGTAATTAACTGTGGCTTGGACAGTGGGGACATTTATCCATACAGGTGGTAGCAAAAAAGTATGATTATCACACTCCAAGCCAGTACTGCATGCTGCCAGAAGATCAGTTAGCCTGAGTATAATCTAGAGTGCTTAGTAAAATGTGTACAAATCAGTAATATGTACATCAACACAGACAGACACTCACAGACATTTAAGAATGGGGAAGCAGTAAATCTGGAGATGACTTAGAAAACACTGTGTATAATAAATAGCACAGCATGAACCCTCAAAGCAATACTGAATCCAAAAGGATGCATGTGAAGCTTTATATATACAGAGAAACAGTAAGAAGACCTACAAATGTCGTATTACTTCTGTGTTAGCACTGGTGGTGTGCCTATTAGAGTATAAGTCTTGTTCTGCCATCTGCAATCAATAAGAAAGTAGCTAGAATACTGGAAAAATTCAACAGAAGAGCTGACAGCACATCTATCAATAGGAAAGCATATGAAAACTTTAGCAGAGTAAATTGTTTGTGTTAACAAGGAATTTGTGTAGATTGATCACCATCCAAGTACTCACACAAAGATTAAGAAATCACTTTACCATGTTTAACAGAGTAAGGTACACTGTCTTGATCCACTGGGAAGCACTTTCAGACAAATTAAAAAAAAAAAAAAAAAAATTCTACCGTCCAAACTAAATTCCCAAGTTGTTATCCAAGAAACTAAAATAAAATTATCTTTTCTGGATCTAAACCCCCAGTTTGGATTTTTATTTTTCCTTATTTTTTTTCCTTTATCAAGAACAGTTTATAAGAATAAAGTAACTTGCTATAGAAATCCCCCTAGCTTCCTATTCTAAGAATTTACAATATCAAATCTCTCTAAATGCCTCCCATAATTTAAGCAAAGTATTTTCTTCCAGATTCTAAATGTCTTAAATCAAAATGGTTTTATCATTGAGCTCATGATGCCTACCTTTGTGGCTGATGTCAACCATAATTACAGATGTGAATTTTGTTTCTCAGACTTAACATAGTCAATTTGGATAGCTATATATCCCTTAGATATAACTTTCATTCAGAAATCAGAGAACATTTCTCTTTGGTAACAGTTAAAGAATATATCCTGAAGTATTCTGTGGCAGGACCACAGAACCATCTTCAATGTTCAGAATGGAATGAAAGCTAGCAAATTTTAAAAAGGAGAGCACATCGTTTATGATTATTTTTCCCCTTTCAAGGCAAAAGTTTCTTAAATAAACTGATCTGTTTCCCAAGGTCCTAAGCCAACGTCTATAGCAATACTAAGACTGGAGCTTTGAGAGGAAACATATATATATATATACATATATATATATATCAGAACAGTCTCTGTAGCATGGCTTTGACAAGGAGAAAGAGATATGTGCACATTTCTTGAATATCTGGCAAACTTACAGACACACACCCACCCCCTTTACTCTATCAGGCTGCATGTTTGAAAACAAACCAACCTGAAAAAGAAGGCAGAATAATCAAACAAGAATTATATGTACAACTGGAAATGTTAATTATATAATGGTAATACTCATTACATCAGAAGTATTTAAATATTTTTCTTCAGCTCCTTTTCCATGATCTACCACAATTTTATAATTTAAGTCCATTAATAGCACAGATAATTTTATTAATAAGTACACTGAAGCAGAGACATACTGGGTCAGACATTGAAGGTCCACTTATGTCTCATCTTGTCTCAGGTTAATGGTGCCGAGTAAGTGATGCTTAGACAAGAGTGAAAGATCAGGACAAATGTATCATCCTGCTGTGCCATTAATTCTCCTAACATCCAGCACTTCCTGAGCCATAAAGTAATTTCTTTATATTTAATAGCCACAGTGAATTTTTTCTGCACAATTCTTTGCCCTTTGTTTTTTTAATGCATGTCATGTTCTATGCTCCAATAAATTCTGTGGGGACTTGACCATGTGCTTTCTTTCATTTTACTCTGGTTTGAGTTTGCCCTCTCCAAGACAGAAGTATCAGTGTTTGCTTCCCAAGTTTTTGCGCTGTTGTTCCACAGATAGCCACTGCTGGCCACTGGACAACGCAAGCCAATGGGCTAAACTAATTTTCTACTCAACCCAGTTCAGCTACTCTAATATTCCTGTCACAGTCACAGAACCAGAAATAACCCACACTGACTTACAGGTGCATCCACACAAACAACTGGGCTACGTACTACGTAAATCAGGGTTACACATAAACCGCTATGATAGGAAGATCTGTATCTCTGAGCACACTGATGGTGCTTCTCAGATAAATGAAATGGTTATTGAGGGCTCATACAGCAATATTTTATATTGATACAATTAGACTTCTGTTACCATAGTACCGTATTTAAATCAACAATGACTTACAGACATTCCCTGTGTTGTCAAAACTCGTAAGAACTTCTTTAACATTTAAGAGTCCCTTGTGAAATCTGGAAGAAAACATAAACAATGACTTTACCAACCTATAACCAACTTAAAAAAAACAAACAAACAATCCACAACATAACACACACATCTCTAGCACAAAAGAAGTTCACTGCAGGCGCTCACTTCTCACAAACCCCTACCACAGACAAGTAACAAACAGGTACCACTGTAGCCACCAGGGGGAAAACAAAGGGACAGCCACAAGTCTGCAAAGTTCCATCACTGAAATCCATAAACATGTTTCACAGAAACGAATACTTTATCAAAACAAAAACCCTTCCAAAAAGCATCCATTTTTGTTTAGTTGTGGAAGTCACATATAATAAAGGAATAGTTTTGGTAAAGACGAGTTTTGAACAGCAAGTACCTGTACACAAATTCCTATTTTCTCCCACAAAATCAAGAACACTTAGTTAATGTGAACAATAAAACTGATCGATGTGTTCAGTGAACTGCATTTTCTTTGGTTTTACATTTACATAACCCAAGTGAAATAAACATTCTAAACTGGGGATAATAAATTAAATAACTGATTTTTACATACCACAGTGAAGAAAACACTGACTGCAGCAGAAACAACATGCACCAAAGTTGAATGCAATTTTACCTAAAAAGTTTCCTCTAAATGTTATAGATGTCAGGGTAGTTGGATTCACACACACAAAAAAAAGCAACTAACAATTTTTTAACTATACCTATCTGGTCTATGCCCCAAATGCACAAAATAAAAACTTACACTTCACAACAATCAGGTCACAGAGCTGTTCCACAAATGCATTAAAAAAATCTAAAAAGAATTCAGCAAGGCAGTAAAATGCAAAACCACAGCCTTTTAACAGTATTTTAAATGAAGCTTCTCAGGCTGTTTAGGAACATGCTAATTTGAAACACTGAAAAAAATGGAAGAAATCCAGTGATTCTAGCACCTACAAAATTAGTTCTCATTCTCTCAGCTTTTCTTTCCTAAAGAAAGATCATTGTAAGAATGAAAAAATATGAAATTGCACATTTATCGTGCAAAGAAGCCTATTGGGAGATTCTGATAAGCTTAAGCATTAAAGAAAGAAACATTTACATGTTAAATTTTGAGAAGCACCAAACGGCAACCAGAGTAGTTCTTAAAAAAATGAAAGTCAAATGAAAATCAGATTAATAAACTGAAATGAGCTTATAAACACAGGCAACAAAACATAGGAAAGATGTTACAAAAGACTGAACTGGACATCAGAGCTCTTCTCCCAGCTACATAAAAAAAAAAAGCCCAAAACACATTCCTTAGCTGCACTGGAAGCCTAGACCAATTCTGTTGGATCATATGGACTTAAAATGCACTTTTTCTCCTTCTTTTTTTTTTTCCTAGCAAGTTTGTTTTCAATCGGATTGGACAACCAGTGCAGCACAGTTAATTCAAGAGAAGTGACAAGGAAGCAGACAGGATCAGTAGTTCTGCCAAGCACAGAGCTGCCCTTTAAACTGTCCCCTGCTGACTCCTCAGTATCCTATGAACTCCATCACTGTGTATATGTCTGACACAGTTAGGGTCTCCCAGACAGCTGTGAACCTCTTATCTCTAAATAAATGTAAGATGGGGGTGAGGGAGATGCTAAGTAATGAAATATTCTAATCTCGGTTGGCATGCAGATTAGTCCTGGGATACCATGCTGTGGTTTGGGTCACTCACCCTCCCAATTTCTATACATACACAGTCCATATAGAAAGGAGACTTATCATGCAAATCTCCAAGTGAAGCAAAGGTGAGGTTGAACAGTTTAGCAGTCCGGTACCTGTAGTTTACCAGAATGCTATGAAGAAGGAAAACCAGAAGTAAGTAGAGTCTCCTGGTCTGGAAAAGCAGGGTCAAAAGGTAGATAAAGGCAAAAAGGGAAATGAATCTACCAGCACTGGCCTTAAAATTATCACTAAGCCATATTTCAGGCTGTTTCTGAAATGAGGTTTATAATTAAAGCTGAGAAGTGGACAGCTCTGAGTGCACAGCAACTCAGATGCCACAGAAGGTGCATGCCACACACATCTGGTCTTTAAGGTTGTCCTGAAATTTTGATGTTTCATTTAACACAATGCTCTTCATCTACATTATTATATTTGGTGTACTCAGCTTTCATTAAGGATGAGTTCTTCCTCTGATTGTAAAACATTCTTTCCATAATTAAAATCAACACACGCATTTCAAACACACTCTTACATTTATTATACAGGGGCCAAGAGCTTGTGGCATCAACATACAAACACAACATACCCAGTGTTTTCTCTCTTGTCTGTGCAAAATGCCTCTGCTGGCCACCCTTTTCTGCCTGCCTGCAACATTCAAAGCCTCTTCTAACTCTGCCTCAACAACCTCTTTTCTTGTTTTCACAGACACTGTGCATGGCAAGCACATAAGTGAGCTGTAATTTAACGATGAGAAGCATCCAGCTTTGCTATGAGGGACTTCCCCTTCTCCTCAGTCTTCCAGATGCCCACTCCACGCTTCCTGTGAAACACGGTTTAACAGCTGCTTCCTTGAGTCTGATCAGTTTATGGAACCTTCACTGAACAAAAGCTGGGAGCAAGCTCATCATAGAATGAGAGGCACAGTCATGGTCTCAACAGTGATCTGGATAGCAAAGCCATTCTCATTCACTCCAAAAATCACATCTCAGGTCTTAACGATACTACCATTATGGACTACTTTACTACTACTCCACGTTTGTTTCCAAAGTCAATTAGCATGATGGAAGAATACCTCTTCCTGTTGTGATAGTTTTTCCTCCCTACACCAAGCCTAAAATAAGAGGCACTCACATTCTACTGGTAGCTACTTAACAGTTAGGGAACCCAAACAGTGAAGAACCGAGCATAACATCTATTGCAGACAAGTTTTAGAACTAAGGAAAGCAATGTGCCAACAGCTGAGGTACTTGTGAAAGGAGAGATACGCTTCCAAACAGCAACAACTACATTTCTCCATTTGAAGGACTGCGTTTGTAGAGCCTGCATCAGCTACTCCCCAACTCTTTTCCACCACAGACCTGACTTGCAGACTAAAAGTTAAAAACACCTGGATATACAGGTATTCTCTAACCCCAAATTCTGCCACAAATACCATGCTACTCAGCCCTGCACCTAAAATCCACAACTTACAGTTTGAGATCCACTGCCCTGTGTATACCTCCCCAGTACTTATCTAACAGCTGCTCCTTCACTGTCATGTCCCATCCCATCAGCTGCTACTCCACTACCAAGCCCAGGGAAAACTGTCAATCCATGTCACATCTTGTTTCTGTAAACACCTGTCATAATCTCAGTTTTCCACAGTATGTCTTACAAGTTGCCCATAAAAAGTTTCTTAGTGTCATGTACACTGAACTATGAAAGTCAAGGAAAGGAATCACAGAAACTTGTGGCTAAACCCCAACCCCAGTATTCCCACAGATTTCCACAGCCATCTCAAAATACATTTCTGCAGTATTTACTGCTTTGGAATATGTCATGGATGTTGTACAGTTCCAAGAACTCCAAAGAAGTTCAAAGCTGTGACTGCTGAGATCAACAAAGTACTCCAAAAAAGAAGAGTTAAGCTTAATGGAGAAAGCGAATTTCAGGCCAGCATGGTTAATCTGATCTACAGTGTTCTTATAGTAAGTCTTCAAGGTAAAATATGCAAACATTTCTATGGATATGTAAGCCAAATCTATGAATGATAAACTAATTAAACTCCTATTTCTTCTCAGCTAAGGCAAAGCAAAATTCCTTCCTTTGGAATATGAATAAATCAACTTTGGATGTATAAACGAAGTCACAGAAAGAGAGAAAGGTATCTTTAAAATCTATCAACATTCCTTCCTCTCCAACTCAGGCAACACAAGTGGCAGACTTTTACATTTATTTATAAACAGCTATAGACAGTAGAATAAAAATTATCCTCCAGTAGCTCCCTGTTAAGGTACGCTTTTCATCAACCATATAAAACTATGTTCCTTCTTTTATTTTATTCTTCAACTGAATGAGAAAAAATAATACAAACAACTAAATATATATACTAAACTAAAAAATATCTAAAAGAACTAAGGCTGCACTTCCATTTAATACTCAGAATAAAACAGAGCACAATAAATCACAATATATTATTAACCTGGTTATAAAAAAAAACCTAATGTATTTGTGGAATATGAAAGACAGGACAAGGGCAGAAACATTACTGCTAAGGGTACTTCACAAAAAGACTTGGTGAGTGTCACCATCAGTTGTCATTGTAGCCCAGTAAGATGTTTTCTGATCAGATGGTTTTTCTGGGCCAGGGTCTAGCAAAACAAGGTAAATCCTCTTTCACTCCAGTTCAATAGCACAGTTCAATATGGCAAGAAACCAAACCAATGGCTTCTTCGACTACTAATTCTTTCTGCAGATATACGTGTCTTGGGCAATATGATGGAACACTCCATCAGTGAATGAAAGAAACATGTTTCCAAATCACTTTTTCTTTCTTCCCTCTATTTCCTCCTCTTGTGACCAAGCCTCTACGTTGCTAAACCCACACACTGTCTCTTAGCACACAATAAGTGGAAGAAAGCAGCTTTATCATATCATACAAATTGTCCATAAGGAGTAGACAATATTCCTTGAAATCTGCTTCCCTTCACTCTTTTTATGTCTATCCCTAAAGTAAAAATCCATTAAAACTTAAAAATGTTATTAGCAGGAATATCCTATAGGAACTGCCAATAGAATTCACTCCTAAACCACCTTCTAACACACTACGTGACACAGACAAATAACATGCCTCATTTCGAAACCAATGGTCTACAATCATCTAATAGGTTTTTTTCATGTCTTTATCTAAAGGTTCATTCACATTCAGAATAAAAGCATGACACCTTGCAAAGAATACTTAGCACTCTTTACAGAGATTCAAACCTTCTCATAAGCAGCTGACACTGTTCTTTTGAGTTCTGCATTTTTGTATTTGAAACATCAAATGACTGATCAACAGAAAATATTTTACACAGAAATAATTTATTTTTTCTCTAATTGTTTAAAATGAGCCTACGATTTTGAAGTAAATCCATATCCTGAAATAGAAGATTTGAAGATATTGATTGCTCCTTTTTTAACTCTTAACAGAAGAATAATTTTCCTGTCTAAAAGACACCATGTCCATAGTGAGACAATGCATCTTTGCAATCTATGTGTCACTTCATTGCTAAACCTACTTACACAAAATTTAAATTTAAAAGCACATTCCTGATTAAGAATAGAAGGATTTAGAAATGTAATATTAAACAAACATTTTTAAATTGCTCTGCTTACTCACTGTGTATCTTCCTATCACCAAGAAAACACATATTTAGCATGTACATAATTTTTTAGCAGCAAAGTGAAATACCCCCAAAGTTAAAGAGAACTTGAACAAAGCTAACTAATTAATGTGAATGTTTTATGAATTAAAAACCCAGCAATTTCACGTATGTAGCCACCCAATTCATATCAAGACAAGTATGTAGTGTGTAGGAGCATCAAATATGGTACAAATTCAAAGAAGACTAATCAAATGAGATTCTGGATTATAACACAAGAAATTTCGTTTTGAAACATCTTTCACTGCTACCAAAACCCACACTCATCAGACACTCCTCTTCATACCCTAGAACCACACAGCACCTTAGTACCTATACAAACTTCAAAAGACCACCTTCTACCATGTACAGTGAATCTACATTTCATTAAGCACACTAGAGATCACTGTTTAACCAGAAGAGTTGTGAGGATTTTAAAAAGGAGCCTATGATGCTATCACTTCAAAGATCTAGTCAAAATGGCATATAAATCCACCTAGAATTTTTTAAGCAAAAATTGGCATTTCTGGCTTCATGCTTTGGATGATTTGTCATTAAGAACAATTCTAAAAATAAACTAATGACAGGAAAACAAGGTGTAAGCTCTTCTTTCCTAAATGTGAATCCAACCTGAATTTGGTTAGAGAAATAGCAGCTTATTAAAACAAGCATGAGAAGTTCAGAAAAACATGTATATGACTGGTAGTTCCTGCCAGAGCTTCTATTTGCCTAATAAACTGGTCCCCAAGACTCTCTAGAGCAATAATTCCAGCTAGGTCATAGCATATCTGAATATACAATTTGATCAGTTTTGATAGCCCTTGAACTGATACAGCTTGACCTTTATACTCTTTGCCAAAAGCCACTAACAACCTTACGAACTTTCTTAAGCATTTAGTCTTGTCAAGATCTTAGCTGACAGCCCTTTTAACATCCAGCATATGCAATGAGCTTTCTCAAGAAGATATTAATGCATAAGGAAAACATATGTAGATGAAAATGCAAAAGCACTTTTGTCAAGATTTTAGAGGGGCCATAGCAACATTTCTTCCCTAACAAAAAGATACATAAAAAGGCTAATCCTACTCCTCTCCTACTCAAGCACACTGTTCTGGGTTTACCTGACTGATGTTTTTGTTATTGTTAATAATATGCTATTAATATGATCTTATTATCCTATTAAAATTGTTCCTATTGATGGAAATTATTATAATTAATATTTTGCCAAAGGGAGAAGAAAAATTAAGGCAAGACTGTAAGACATACAGAGGATCCTTAAGTTTCCAAGACATAACCAGTCCTCAAGGACCCAGGAATGCTTACTCCAAGATTTCTTATCTTCTAGATATGCAAGTTTCATCAAGGACAACTGCTGCTCTGTTATGCATGTTAAAATGTTATGTTTAGCACCTTAAATTACTGATTCTGTGAAAACAAGGAAGAAATTTTATTTAATACAAATTCAAGGTAAAGTGGATTTTATTGCAGGTATTCATACTCTGTCAAAACACACTGTATTTTCTCCTTTCCTGTTTACCATCCTGCAGTAGTCTGAAATGTAAGCATATGCCAGCTATTGCCACTGCTTCAGAATAGAGAGAAAACATTTTAATACAGAAGTGTAACACTAAGTTCTAATGATTCCTCCTAAAACAATCAGTGATCACCACTTTGTAGATCACCGAGTAACTTCTGGACAGGAACAAAATAGAGCGAAAAGATAAAAATCCCCACCAGGAAACAATGTCCCTATTCTCCTTAAAATTGGCTTTAATTTAAATTCTCAGTTAAAAATGCACTTTACAATTTCAATGACTTAGGCTCTCCAGAATATCCTCTACTGCTCACATAATGCAAAATCCTACATCCTCAGCAAAGCTTATTAGAGGCAGCAGAACAAGTATTGATGCAGGGATGATTAAGTTACTATTGCAATGACACTGCTGAGGCAAAAACAAGTTATAAATATGTATAGAAGTGAACAAGGAAAAACAGATCAAAGCAGAAGGGAAAAAAAACTACTCCACATAGTAATGCACGGGGGCTATAAACTTTTCTGGTTTACTCCTTCAGAGTTTGGTGGGGTGGGGAAGGGGATTAGGTTTTTTGGAGTTTTTTGCTTGTTTGTTTGGGGGGGGAGGGTTTATTTTTAATAAAAATACCTTCATTTGGATTACCTGCCGTAATATAAAACAGATTTCTTCATTAGGTAAAATCATTTCTGTGGGAAGGGGAAATATTTTATTCTTTTGTTTTGCAAACTGGCTTCCAAACTATCATTGAGTTTTACAAGAATTATTAAGAAGAAAATTAAATAAAATATAGATCATTATCCAAAAAGCTTTTAGAACTTTTTGAATAATACCCCATCACTAAAATTTTTATTCGGACTACAAGTAAATGTGTTCAGGTGTTTTACACCCTGTTTTACATACTTCTATCTGAAGAATGTCACAACAGAAAGCTATTAGAAATATAAGATAAATGCTCATATCTGCATTCAGTTATAGGCACAATTATCAGTATTTTCATTCAAGGTCTGCCACGTCAGTGAAATTTACCAAGAAGAAACAGACAAGCTGCTTACTGTAACAAACAACTAAAAATAACATCTAACAGTTTATTTGTAAACTATGCCCTAGTTACACAAACACTAGGAGAATGACTAATGAGTTTTTATTTGAGGCCTGTACAAGATCTTCAGAAGTACTTAAAACTTATATGACGGTTACCTTAAGGACACACTGTACTCAGGATAAAAGATGCTTTTATACTGAACCCAGGTCCCCGTTTCCTCTTCTGTATTCTGATCTTCTATTATAAAGAGATTGAACGATGCAAACCTTCTTACAGACACTTGTTGAAGATGGACATCTTTCAAGTGCTTTTTCTTCAGAACCTTTGAAATGAAGAACAAATTAAACATTAAGGATAAAACTTTTAAGAAAAGAACAAACAGGCTTATTTAACTGAAGAGGCAAGTCTGGAATCAATCATAATAGCTCTGCTATCAGCTAACAGTTATCAATAACTAGTCCAAATACATCAAGCCTAAGAAAAACAACAGTGGTATTGATGGTAGTGATCAAGAGAATGAGTTACAAATTTATTATGTCTCAATAAATGTAAAGCACATACACTGTGTTCAGAAGTACACAAATTTGCTTTTTTAAGTGCTCCAGCAAACCCATGCCACAGAGGCAAATGGGGTTCTCCCCTATCCTCCCACCATTACCACCACAATGGAAGTTTCACAGACCAAGCAATGCCCTCACCAAGCACACAAAATGCAATTCCCCTACAGATGGAAGAATGAAAATAAAAGATAGGGTATCTTCTGTAGAATTTAAGGGACTAAACCCAAAATGTGACCCTCAGGTGCCAAATGACACGTGTTTGCCAGGTAGACTACCTCCTAGCCTAGAAGCCTACTGTTGCACGCTTCCAGAATTGCTGTCAAACTTGCCTGAGTTGAGAAACTTGCTACCTGTGTCAGGCCCCAGGCTTTCAGATGCCACAATTGCTTATTCCCCTATGAGGCACCTCGTAAGGGGACTGATGCATTAGCTAATCTTTATGTGAGCCCCAAAACACACTGACAGCAACAAGCTCAGTACCAAGAGACTAAAGAATTCAAGACAGTGGCTGAGACAGAATAGACTGTTTCATGTTTTAATGATTAAGACACTTGTTCAGGAAAGTGAAAACATGGGGTCTGTGCCCTGCACAGTGCACTGCACTCAGCCATCTTTGGGGAGTGAGGTATCAACCCCTTCATACAGGAAAACTCAGCACCCAGCCTGTTTGAACTGTATCGTGCACAAAAGATGATGTTTTTCCCTGCCAGACAAAAAAAGGCTTATTCTTTAGGTCAGGGCTTATTCTTCAGATATGGAAGAAGAGACAGAATCACAGAATGGTTAGGGTTGGAAGGGACCTTGAAGATCATGTAGTTCCAACACCCTTGCCATGGGCAGGGATGTCCAGGGTTTAACTTGTTTCTCCTAACACTGGACAGAATACATAAATGATTACCATTGCCTTTTTATAAGCAAGATGCCTATGCAGTCCACAATGAGGGAAAAAAAAGAGCAGAAAATAAACTCATCCCTATAAATAGCTACAAGGAACAGCTCCACTGAGTAGGCCAGTACCGCAATTTAGAGGGTTTTGCCAACCAGAGATCAATCTGAAGTCTAATGAGAAACAGCTCTCCAGAATTATGAAACAGAAGCTTCGCATACAGGATGCATACAGCAAAATAACAGGTCAGCGATTTTTTTGGCTGCACCCAACCTTTGTCAACATGCTTTAACTGGAAATGCAGTCACATTTAACAGCCTTACAATTTGGTACCATGAGCTACTATTTTGCAGGATACTCGGAAATATTAGATATGTGAGCAGAGCAACTGTATTTGCTATGCTGTTAGTTTCTAACAGCAGGTCTGATGCGTCAGGCTTACTGCTCTTGGATCTATTTTCATCTGTTCAGCATACGAAAGGCATAGGCATTTTCATCAAAGCATTAAAAATGCCTGTGTGCTGTCCACACTATTTCTTCTACTTCTGTAACACATAAGAAAAACACACACGAGGGAAATTACTAAAATACCAAAACAGGAGAACTTGAGGAGCAGACTGAAGATCCTCACACAATAGTGGCATGTCTGGAAACAAAACAGACCGTTTTGACAACTAAAGCAAACTACCAAGGCATAATTTTCAGTAAAGCATGTCGTTCAGGGCTTTTTTAAAGCAAAGACAAACCACAGGGGAGGGGGGTAACAACACTTTTCTGTTTTCAGTTTTTTGTTCTACAGAGACATCTTCTAGCAACTCTGCAAAATTAACTCTCTGGCTTAGCAGAAAACCTGATGAGCATTTGAGAACTCATTTCTCCCATACCCTCAAATTAAAATTGGGTAGTCTAAGATCTGAAAATTACAACAGTAGGTTGGATCTTTTAAAAACCTGTGTATAACTGAGAAAAAACAGCACAAAGGAACAATATGTTACATTATTTATATCTAACTCTGTGTATTTACATAAGGATTAAAGTGGTTTTTTAACTACAGTCAGTTCCTAAAAGCATCACCCTTGTGTTAAAAGCTATAAAGACATGCTCCTGCTACAGTATAATCCACTGATGAAAAATAACAGGTGACAAACCTATCTAAACTGATAATAATGTTTTGAAGAAATGATGATGCCCTTCCAATGATGCTCTTCCAACGAAGGTGAAGCTCCCTAGCATCCTGCACGCTGCCACTATAAAGGAACACATCTTAAGAGATTTATAAAACCAGTAGCCAGTATTAGAGCAGGCTAAAGACTTCTCAGCAGGCTAGACACAGTTCTTGGTTTTAGTGATGGCAAAGAGAAGGAACTGTGATGGAGAAGAAATTACCAGACACTGTTCTTTGGTTGGTACTTGTGGCCCCTATCTCCTCCCTCAGTAACTTTCAGCTATGTTTCTCCACATACTTTTCTTTTAAAAAATTCCAGAAGCCTTGTTTCACTCTTTCCAAGATCTTTTGGTACAGAAAGGCCCTGTCTTCGGCACAAGACCTTTACAGGTGTACACAAGTGTCAGAATCATAGAACAGTTAGGGTTGGAAAGGACCTTAAGATCATCTAGTTCCAACCCCCTTGTCATGGGCAGGGACACCTCACACTAAACCATGTCACCAACCTGGCCTTGAACACCACCAGGGATGGAGGATTCACAACTTCCCTGGGCAACCCATTCCAGTGCCTCACCACCCTAACAGTGTTGAGCTTGTACACGGGTCATACATACAAATGTTACCTAAGTAAATAATGTTTTGGTTCTGTAATGATAGATTACAGAACTCTCGTATAGATTACAGAATTATCTTCCAAAAATTAGGCTCCAAAAATTAGAAAAAAACACCAAGAACAACTAAAAAAAACCATGCAAACTCACACTGTTAGCCTTGCAGTTTTCCCTCTCCAATTTGTACTTCCTTTCCTTTCTAACTTCACCTAGCAATATAGAGTTCTAAAACAATTCTTTCTTCACTAACACAGAGAACATTAAAAAACAAGTATCATGAAACTGTCTCCATTTTAGAAAGATTCCAGTAACATATTACCACAGATCAAAACCACAGGGCCCCGAGCATCTAATCGCAATATTAGGCCCATTTTTTTGTACTCCCTATAAAACCTAATTGATTTCTATTAAAACAATCAAACAGAGCAACCAACCACACGGAGGATGGCAATCACTTGAATTTCCCTGTATTTATTTGTGTATCTCGTTGCACACAGCCTAGTTGCTTCAAAAGCCAAATTCAGTAACAGCTGATGGTCTACAAACCTCTGTCCAGTTCCAGGGCACTGACTATAATGTGGGATGCTGTACAGGCAAGAAAGTTTCTACATGATCGGTCAAACCATCTCTAAACATCATCAGTAGGACTGTGCAGTATTTATTTTTACAAACAGCTTATTTACCAAATAGTTTTACACAAATTGAAACAATTTACAAACTCAAGACTAACAAAAACATGGAAAAAGATCTGGAGCACGGGCACCCATCACAGAGAGAGGAGTGGGAAGAGAACAAAAATGATTTTAGAAGTTTCTCTGTTCTGCCCTGCCCTCACTTTAGCTTTCATTTCTGGTGAACTGAAAACATTTGGTGAACATCAGCAGGTGAGCAAGACTTGTGTGAGCAAGAGGAAGGTAACAGGCAGGATAAATATGTAAATTTACAGATTTCCCCAAAGTTTTCATACAACTTTCTCTATGGAGCAAATTAGAGAGAGAGAGCAATTTAACTTATGCCCATTCCTCTAACTTCTCTGCCAAAAACTACTGGCTGGATAATGCCATCAGTTGCATAGACTTGGAGGGCTCAAAACACAGCCTTTGAGAACTTATTCCAGTAATTTATAAGTGCACACTACACATGTAACTTAACTTAGTACTGGAGTTTTTTAATGCAAAATCATTTTGATTCTGACAAACTAAGCTTAAAACTATTGTCAAACTTTAAACTCTATACATACATAAAACATTTTATTGATAAAGAACTCGTAGGTAATTATGCAAACCTCTGGTTCTTTATGCTAGCTTCACAGGATACCTGACAAAAAGGCCTTTTTTCTTAATTAAATCAGAGAGCACACATTCAGGCATCCTCACCATGGCGAATCAATTTGTGTACGCACTGAATGAAAGCAAATTCAATATATAAACACACCATGGAACTGGTTTCACGTAAGGTGTTATTATCAGCAGTATGAAAAGCATTTTTAAAAGCACTGTAAGAAACACTTTGACGGTGCTCCTTTAAAGATGGGTATAAAGGAAGGTTGATACCTTTCTCCAAACCATAGATAGATCTGAGCATCACTGCAGTAAAGAGTGCAGCACTGATTTTTTACTTCAGATGCACCAGTAAGATTAAATTTATCCTTGCTCATCATACCATACAAAAATCAACAGAAAAGCTAAAGAACATGGAAAACCCCAGGGAATCTGCAGAGGAAAAGGCCACAGATACATGTATTTTGAGGAAGAAATGGAAGCCTTCTCCCCACATACCTACACACTCATTCCATTGGCATGAAAAGTTCCTTATGATTTTAAGAGAGAGGGTAATGCCAAAGGCAGTATGCTCAAAAGGCGTTAACAGACAGCATAGCCGCAGCAGGCAGCTTACATAGTCTGCTAGAACGGAAACGTACAAAACCAAACCTTTTACTCCTACCAGAAACTTTGACATTTCGTGCTTTAAAGTATAATAAACAAGAAGTTTGCCGAGGGAGTTTACGAACCAAAAGCACACACAAAGAGAAGTGCAGTATTAACTTCCTCATGCCTCCCACACGGTAATCTGGCTGCTGCCATTGCTCCTCTGAGGCCAGTGGCCGCCATTTGCCACCCTGCTACCGCTCTGCCTTCATGAGGGGAGCTCCCATGGGCAGTTCCAGGCTTCCACTTAAACAAAGCTGAACGTGTTAAGTTAGGACCACAAATACCACATCCAGTAGCAGCAACAACTAATGAAACTGGTTCAGGTTTTCCATAGAATCCCAGACTGGTTTGGTTTGGAAGGGATCTTAAAGATCCAATTCCAAAACCCAGTGCCACAGGCAGGGACACCTTCCACTAAACCAGGTTGCTTCAAGCGCCATGCCCCCTGCCTTGAACACTGCCAGAGATGGGGCAGCCACAGCCTCTCTGTACGTCCTGTGCCAGAGCCTCACTAACCTCATAGTTTTTAAGCCTTTATGCACACACTCATCTGAAGAGAAATCCTTTCCAACCTCGCACCACTCCTAAAGGACCCAGAAAAGCAAGGCCAACAAGCTACTGCTGCCCTCCAGCACAGGTGTACCCACTTGCTGCTTCTGTTTAAGGCACACTTTAGAAAGCCGTGTGCGTGTATATACATTTATACGGTTTATTCTTATTACTGTTATAGCAAGAAGCGTACTGTAAGCTCTTCTGCAAGCCCCAGCTCGCTACTCCTCGCTATCCCCCGTCAGAGGTGCAGGCAGCTCTGCGCAGCTCAGCTTTCCACACGCTTCCACTGCTGGTAGCGTTCCGTATCGCTCCCCGGCACCGCCTCCCCAGCCCGGGGCAGAGCCCGGCCCTTCGAGCGCTCCAAGCCACGACCGCCCAGCGCGGAGAAACGAACGGGTGGGAACACGAACGGTCCCTGGCCCAAAGCGACGCAGCGCCACCCGCCATCCCCTACCGGGATCTGCGGGCTCCCCCTACCTGCCCGAGCAGCCGCCAGCGGGCTCTCGCCGCTCCCGCGCCGCTCACCTCGCACCGGCCCGCGGCGGGGCGGCTCGGAGAGCCGGCAGGCTCGGCCATGCGGCGGCAGGACGGCTCAGAGCCCCTTTTCGCTCTGCATTGCCCAGCGGGGACTCGCCGCTGAGACTCCAGCAGCTGCCAGGGCCGGCCGGGCTAGGGATGCAGGGGAAGGAAGTGGGTGGCCATCTTTGTTAAGGGCAGCGCTGGCAAGACGTGCCGCCGCGATACGCCCGGCTTTTTAGGCGCCCCGGAGGGGCAGGAGCGCACCTCAGCGTTGGCCGCCTGTGGCCTCAGCGCCAGGGGACGAAACAGTATCTGTAACGGGAGTGACTTGAGGAAGCCCCGCCAGGGACCGTGCTAGCCCTCCCGGGGTGCGGCTGACTGAAGCCTCCGCCGCCGTCTTGGCTACGGGCAGTCCCGCGAGGCAGCCGGGCGCTGCTCCTGTCGCCTTCCATCTTACCGTGAGCCGAGCCGCCGGAGAGAGCGCGGTCCGGCCCCGCCGCGGCGGTGAGGGGCGGCGGGAAGGGCTGGTGGGGAGCGGGACGGGGAACAGGACCGCGGGCGGTGAACATGGAGGGTCTGCAGAGCTGTGAGCGTCCCTGCGAGGGGAGGTCAGCCCTTGCTGTCAAGTTACTTCTTGAGATAAAGTGATTTTATTGTTGCATGATAGTTATAAAGGGGGGACAACTTCCAGGAAAACTGCCCAAACCTTACCTGGCTTCGGTTCTTCAACATTTAAACGTAAAACATTTGCACCTTCCCTTCTCTCATTGATAGTTTCACTGGAGTTAAAGTGCCAGGAACCACGTTTTGCAGTAACACTGCAGGCTAAACTGTACCCCTTGTTAAGAAACTGTAAGATCTGTTTCTTCTCAACTGATACACCTAATGAATCAGTTTCACTGCTTTCAAAGAGGCAGTTTTACCTGGAGTTTACGGTAATGTATATTTCACATATTGCAAATGATCAGCAATTTACGATGTTTGGGAATTTCAGGCTATCAAGAAATGAAGGTTAGGACATCGTGTGTTGGACTGAGAAATCTTCTCCAAGGGCTGAGCTGCAGTGTCAGATACTACTCTAAGCATAGCTGTCTTCAAGCAGTATGTATTTATAGTAAGATAAAACCAAAACAATGCTGCATCCTGGATTGTTCAGGAAGTACATGCACGCACAGGACTCTGCCACCTGGAAGCATCCTGCCGTGGAGATGCTTTTCCTGCAAGGTACGCTGATTAAGTATGGATTTAAGGTCAACAACCACCTTGGCACATCTGCTCAGGAAGCCTCTCATGTTTTCCAAATGTAGAGGAAACACATTTTTCCCAAAGAGTTTGGAGCAGCGGGATAAGTATTAAGATTTCAGTTACGTTCAAAGCTCTGTACAGTTATTCAGCTGGCCTGTACTGTTTTGATGGAAAGCTGCATTTTGGTTGAATTTCCTGCTGTAGTGATTTTTTTAAAATTGGCATATTCCAGAAGGATTCAGATATAGTGTCAGGAGGTAGCTGCGGGGAGAAGTAACCTAGGATGGAGGCAAAGCATCCAAACTGATGACACCAGACATAAACCATTGTGAGCTTGCTAAAAAACCCTGGACTTTTGCCGTGCTGACCAGTAAGTCATGGTTTGCACCATGTTAAATATTAAAATAACGCTATTGACTTCTCATAATTATTCACATGTGATAAATGATACTTTTAAAGGTACTTGGATTTATTTCTGAAAGTAAATACTGTGTACATGGGGGGCAGTGTATCGTGCACAGTTAGAAAATGGAATGAAATCATTTCAGGCCTTCTCGTGTTTCTCATACAGAGTGTGCTGAATGTGTTCTCAAAGTTTACTGCAGTATCCCAGCCTGTAAACCAATTTATATGCATAATGCATAAGTACTGTTTAAAAAGATTGGTGTTTTCGTTTCTCTTAAACTTTTTCAGATGGATGCATGGTTGTTATAAAATTGTTTCAAGTTGACAGTGTTTCTGCAGACGTGACCTAAAGATCATCTTGTTGTAACCCTCTTATTTCTAATCATAATGTAAACAGTTCCTAAGTCTGTGTCTAAAATGGAACCAAATGTTTCGAGGAGCACATAGGAAGCCTTGATGGATGAGAATGTGTGGTTCTGTTTATTCCTTGGCAGTTCACTAATACAGTTACAAGTACTGAACTATGACACTGGTTCCATGGTACAAAAAGGTAGGGTTTTTTTCACCTGAAAGGAAGCTGTGCCTGTTAGTTTTGGAGCAAATGTTTTCAAACATTGTCACTGAGATACTTTGCTGTCCTCAGAATCTTTCCAGATTAAATATCCAGAAACCTCATTCAGTTTAGGAAGTTCTTGAGCTAAAATCATTGAAGGCTGGGGGAATACCTGTTGGGGAATATCATCTGGGCTTGTCACATTCTTACGCTTTCCTAAATATCAATTCATGGCCACTGTGGGGTTTTTGTTTAGTTGCTTCTGTTTTGAGGAGTGGTGTAGACTTACAGCAATTTTTCCAGTGACTGGGGAGAGGATGTTACAACTAACACATACTGCAGTTCCTGTACCTTGATGAATTACACAGCTGTGCTAGAGCTTCTCTAAGGGCTTTCATGTTTTCCTTGAGTTGTGCTTCGGATTTGGTGATTTTAAGGCTAGAGGGACCATTGGTCTGAACCATTCTCATGAACAGTGTGGTTTACATTCACAGGGAGTATGGTAACTGGAGCAGGTAGTTTCTCCTCCTTTCAAAGTGTACTCATAACATTGGTGTTTTAGATCTCATGCCTCTGTGAAGACAAATCAGGAAGAAACCAATGGTTCTTGGTGCAAAGTGAGGATGGGGTGAAAGTATGTCCTACTTTTTAAGTTTAGGCACATTCACATAATACCTTGAATGTTATAAAATGCTGCTTTTTGTGATCTGTGCAGTGTTATGTGCTGTAATATATGTTGTTAAGCTTATTATTTGAACAAATGAGGTTTTACAGCAAGCAAAAGTAACATTGCTCTATCAATTTTAATGAATTTTTAACATTTTATAAGAGAAGACAGTGTTGTCTTCATGGATTGTGGAAAACCAGATCCTTAAGCTCATTCCTGATAAAATTGTTGCAGAACCCATATAATTTCATTGCTTCTTTCTGCACCCTGTGAACATTTATGCTAACACTTCTGGGGAGGTGGAGCAAGAACCTGAACAAGCTGCCAGGACTCCTAGGTACAGGGACAGAGGTGTGGGTTGCATTGTTGTCTAGGAAAGAAAATGATGCTCTTTGTGACAGAAAGACTGTGAGAAAACAGCTCTGAAGAAGGAAAAATAATAGAATTCCACAAAAAATCAACTAAAACCTAGTTTTAGAACAAAAACAAACATATTTACATATAATCAACTCAGATCATACGTTGGTAGTAGCCTGAATTTGAAGAGAATACCTCACTAAATATGTCAAGTAAATCACTTTTGACAATCACAGAGTGGTTTGCAAGAGACTTTAAATATCATCTAGTTCTAACCCCCCCTGCCATGGACACAGCTTCCCCTAGACCAGGTTGCTCAAGGTCCCCATTCAGCCTGGCCTCAAACACTAAAAGATCAGGAAGATCTTATTTGACTCACTCCAACTATGGTTTTTAATGGCACATACTATTATAATAATGCAAAGTTGGTTTTGGGTCTATAGCTCAGGAAATACTATTGTTGCTTCAGTATATTCATGTTGGAGTACAGAGCACTGGCTTGTAGCTGTTGTTTTGTTTCCTTATTAGCAGGAAGGAACAAAAATCCCTTCCAAAAGGAAGCAAAACGCATCCATAACAACATCAGACCTTTCATACAAGGATCTTCTGAAATCAGAGCAGGAAAACTGGAATGACATTTCAGCAAGATACAAAGCTATGACAAAGAGAATCAAGGAAAAATTAGAAGAGTTGCACAATAAGTATACGTTCAATCTGGAAAGTCCAAGGGTAAGTGGCAAAAAATAGAAACTTATAACTGAGTACAAATAAAAGGCAGTGAAGCCATTCTTGCTATGAAATGCTGGTTTACTGATTATTTTTTGTAGTTTTGAGGTTTGAATGTTTTAATATTTGTGGATAGTAACAGCATGTGTTTAGAACGTGGTAGTGTAGTTACCTTAATTTCTCTGTAAGCCAAAGCAAGTAAAGATACAATAATCATCTGACTTTCTAATAAAGAATACAATACATTTTCATTTACAGGAGCAATTGCAGGTGATGTGAGTCTTTTGTTGAATTTAGAGTAGGTATAGGTAGCTTAAGTACCCTAACTTTGAAAGAACCTTTCTGACGCATTCAATTCCTACTGCATTATCAAATACATGTGCTATATTTTGTCATTTGTGTAAGTTACAATTGTGTTGAATATAGGGATTCTAAGGAAATAGTCAAACTATGTATGTTGGACTTGAAACATGTTTGGTTTATATTGAACAGATCAGGTTTGGAGAGAACGTGTACTTTGAAGAGAATGGCTGTATATTTCTTTCAAAAGCAGGTGATGGTAAGGGATTTCTCTTCCTAACATGGCACAATTGTTAAAAATATTGTATGCATCACTTAATGTACTTTTCTTACATGAAAGGTTAATTGCTGTGTTTCTTAAATAACTAAAGAAAATTACTTTTACAAAATTCTTTCATGATTGATTAATAGCGAATCCAAAAAGGTGAGGTGAAAACAGTGAATAGTATATATTAATACTAAGGCAAGTTTCCGGAGGAGAAAGAGAGAAGTAATTTTTTTTCAGAGCCCTAAATTAACATTTTGAAAACATGAAAAGCACATTGATGCTTTTTTATTTGCTGAGGGAGTGGGGAAAGATTTTACTAATTGTGTTTAGTAAAAACAACTGTGCTTTAGGTATTTGAACTTTAAAATTTAACATGTTTCCTAGAAGCCAAGATCTACACTTTTGAAATATTTTACATAATAACTACAAGACTTTATTCCCCCCCCCAACTGTATTTTTTTTTGTTTATTTTTACAAAGTGCATTTGTAAGTATCTTGCCAGACAAATATTTGGTATTAATAAATTACAGTAATATGCTTGTGAACACTGCTGACAGACTTGCTCTAAAAACAGACATTAATAACCACTGTTAATTTTGACAGTGCCTTAATTACAGGATTTCTTTGCTATCTCTATTTTTAAATGTAGTAGATGAAGAAAAGAGTGACATTTTATTCAGTACTGAAGATCTTGGCTTTTCTGATGCCTTTATTCAACGTATCAGAATTTCACCAGATCAGAGATACATGGCCATCAGCTTAAAAAGTGAAAACTCCGAAGAGGCAACCTGCGTTGTTATGAAACTTGGTCATTTTCCTGTTGTGGAAAAAGTCATTCCAAGTGTATTTAGTTTTGGTAAGTTGTTTATAAATACCCTGTGGATCACACCAGCTTTCAACACAACATTTTTGTCAATCTACAAATAATGATAAAATATTTTTAAGAAATAAGCAACATTTTCCCATTTAATCATTACAGCTGTATAATTTTTTTATTTACAGTTTCTTCCACAATGCAAAGTTTTAAGTTACCTGATGTAGATGGAAGTGACTGCTTTCATGATACAGTTTTTTCCTCACTGTAAAAGCAAGCATTTATAGATGTTGAACAGTCATGCATATCTGGGGTTTTTAATTTCATAGAATGGTATTTCATTCAATACGCTTCTTTAAAAACTACTGACATAACTATTTACACTATAAAGATCCTTGTGAGGAATGTTCTAGTTATTAAACTCTTACAGCTACAACTACAGTCACTGATGATAGCTGTAGGCACTTGACTTCACTGAAAAGCGTGCACATGGTACCTATGATTAAGTACTGGCTGGAATTTCAACTGGACCCTAGGATGTGGGGTCACAATTCAGCACCCAATGAAGTCAATTCTTTAAGAATAGATAACAGAGCTTTACATTGCTTTTAAATAAGCAGAGGTAAACTGAAGTGAAATGAGAATCTTTCCTTTCTTATAGAATCACAGAATTTTGGGGGTTGGAAGGGACTTTAAAGATTATCTTGTTCCAGCCCCTCTGCTGTGGGGGGGCTGGAACCCCCCATGTTAAAGAATATAGAAAATAGTGCAGTAGTGTGCATACAATGTTCCACATCTTGTATTTTAGATTATATTATTAAATGTCATTAAGTGTAAGTAATGCAGGACAAAAATTTAAAAATCTAGGTAAACTTCCTAGCTACAAAAATGACTAACAAGAGTTTAGTGTTGTGTTTGCACAACTGAAATTTATAATGCCTGTTAAAAACCAGGCCTGCAAATTTGCCAGTGACGTTTTTCACTATACTTGATTTGAACATCTATCTAGGTTTGTCCAGAAGAATCAGTATGTTCATAAACCAACTCCCTGTTACCTACATAGGTGTGACAGCTTATGGCAGGTAATAAGTGTAGAAAAAATTACTATCAGAATAGTAGAGATTACAATTCATTCAGGTGTGAGATACAGAGGTATCATGAAGTACAGAGGTCCCTCAGTCATAAGCAAGAGAATTTGTATTTGCAGTATTGTGTATTGCATGATACACAATAGCAGGCAGACAGATGAAAGTGCTTGAAAATTTACATCTATGATTTTTAAATGCTAGGCTATAGAAAAACTTTAATTTCCCTCTTCTTAGTGAACCTTTCAGCTTCCTGTGCAATTTGGAGCCACAGTGCTGTTCAGAGAGCAAATTGTTTGCATTACTTCAGTGTGGTACTTCCTCCAGTTCTGTATTGAAAATCAGTATTTATGCATAAGACAGCATACAATAACTTTTTAAAGCATATGTATTAAACATCCTTCTGGTGACTTTAGGACCGGGGATAGCAATAATTTGGCTGGATCAGTCAGATTACTAAATAGCAAGGTTCCTGTATTTATACATTTCTAATGTTAGTGAACACATGTACACACATAGAAAACCGGAGAATTTTTATTTCAGCAGTACCCATGGGGCACATGCATCATCTCTTTTCTCTAAATGGTTTGCGTGCAGTCACATGCAGTGGTTCAGAGCTCATACTCCTTTTATTATCTTGCTGACTCCACGTAAATCTTTGTTCCTCTGCTCAGTTTTAAACAGCCACACCTTCTGTTTTCCTGTTACCTCCAGAACCCCCACAGGGTCAAGAGCTTCCTCTTCCTGGGCCCTGGACCATGGTCCTCTGCCTTTGTGTGATTATTTATTTATTTTTCCAAATGAGATTCTTGTTCTGTGGGATTCAGAGAAAACATGGAAAAATCTTTTTGTGGCTTACCCCAGCCTCTGGGATAGAGAAGTGCTGTCCTCCATTAGATGTCAGCTGCAGCCCACCTTTTTTAACAGTGGGTCCAGTAGTGTTCATGGGGCTCCATTTTCTCTCACTAATTGTATATACTGTTCCAAATTTGATATGCATTTGTCTTTTTTTCCAGAATGGGCTGCAAATGATGTTCTGTATTACACAAGCCAGAAGAACCTTAAATGCCAGAATGTGTTTATGACCACTTTCACTAATCAGAAACATACTAAGTTAGTTTATACAGAACAAGATGCAAGGTAATACTTATGTAAAATGTAACAAGTCCTTTATGTATTCTAGAGTACCTTATATGTAAAATATAACTGGTTTGGAAAACATAGCCTTTCATATCATATTCCAAATGGTAAAAGGCATTTTTAACTTGTGTCCTGCTGTCAGTATTGCCATATGTAGTCTGAGAACGTGCTCTGTTTTCCTCTTGATACATGATCAGCGGAGATTTAACTTTCCTCTCTTACCTCATGAGTTCAGCTGAGTTTATAAATGTCAAGGTCAGCTTCAGGTCAGGTTGTCCTTTAATGAATGTGTGACAGTTTCATACAGGGTAAATCAGACTGTGGATTTCATTTTGTTTCCTCTGCTATTGATGTCTGATAAGTCTTTAAAAAAAAAAAAACAACATAGAAGTTCAGGCTAATCCTTGCTCTGGGTAATGGATGAGCAAAATCATTACAGCATTCCCAGAGACAGAACTATTGTTGACTGAATACCCTCTCAATAACCTTTCTTGAAGCAGTGGTTTAGGAAGACAAGAAGGCTCTAGCTAAATTGAGTGCAGAACTAGTTTTTCAACTATGCAGCATGTGGTCGATTTATACAACATTCCATAAATGTTTGTGATTATTCTTAATTCAAGTTACATAATAAAGGAATTGCTATTATATTTTCATCTAAAAAATAGGAAAATAAAAAATCTGCAGTTGAGATGGAGTAAATAAGATCCTTTTGTTCCAGCGGCAGTTGATGCATACTTTTGGAAAATCAAATTGCACTGACCTGACACTTCCCCACAGGGAAACTGTTGCCATAATTCTGAAGGTCACAGTCATTACAGTAAATCTACTAGAAACTTACTCTAAAGGTTCATGTGCTATTGCAGCTCATAACTGAAGTTACATGTTCATTGGAGATGGCAAGACATTCCTTTGTATGGACACTGAGCAGTTCCATTCTACATCTGACCAGCTCTTTTAGGTGCAATCAAATCATTTTTGATTTCTTGACTTCTTTGAGAAAAGCTACAAAGACCAAAGAAAAAATAAAGTAATATCAAGGTCAGAGTCCTTGGGGAGAAGTGTAACCTGCATTTCAGTTTGACTCTCTCAGAGGTAAGGTCAGCAGAGCTGAACTGTTGGAATCTCTACTGAATGCAGTACTGCACTCTTGCCAAATTCATGTGTATTAGAGAGGCAGGAGGCTGATTCCTTGCAGACTTTAGATCCCCTGCTGTGCCTGTCCTCTTTCAGATGTCAGGAGGGTACAATTAGAAAAAACAATAGTACCAAAAAAAAAACTGGAGTTCCTCCACCTGCAAATAATTAAAGGCACTGAAAATGCTGTGTATCGCGTCCTTTCCTTCACCAGTCAAATTTATTTTGAAGTCTAGAGGGATCATTATTACAGTCATGTATCTGATCTGTATTAATGCAGATTACAGTACTCAAACCTGCAATTTCTTGATGAAATGTTCTGGATCTTTGTGTTGGACAGTTTTGCTTTTATGGACATCCAGTCTTAAAGATTCAAAATGGCAAAGAAACTGCTCTGTCTCAAGATGGGATGCTCCAGTTAATTTGGATGACTCCTAAGGAATTGATTGTGAATTTTAGCCTGAATTTGTGTACTGTTAACATCCAGCCACTGGTTATCATCCTGTTTTCTGTTTCTGGTTATCATCCTGTTTTCTGTTTCTAGATTTTATAAGCATTTCAAATCAGTAGATACTTCCTAGTTTCTTACATAGTTCCAAACCCAGTTCCTAGCTTCCAGCTTTACCAGTGCAACTTGCCTGTCTTGTCTCATATAGGCCTCTCTACTTCTTTTAAAAATAGTCCTTTTTGTCTTACTTGCTTCAGACAAATTTACGGCAGTAACACTGAGGCTTTTTCTCAGTTTATAATAGCTCTTATTTGTTATTGCTGTTCCCACAATATCTTTTATTAATTTGAATTTAATTAGCCATTACTACTTAAAAAAAAAGAGGTTACAGGCTCAATAGAAAGTTCTGTGTTGTGCCTGAATTTTAAAGCCTAAATACAGCAATGAGCTTCCAATCTTATCTCAGTAATGCAAACACTTGGATTCAGTTGGGCAGCAACTGAACTGCTTGCTTGTCATATTTGTGGGGTTTTGAATCCCAGGATCGATGCAGCAGGAGTGGGTTTGGGAGCCAGGTAGTCTGGAATTTCTTCAGCCCCTTTGCAGGCATGCGTTTTTCACCTTGCAGAGGGAAGCCCATGATTCTGAAACATCTGATCTATTTTTATAATAATAATCAAGTTTAAGCTTTTTTTTCTAAAAAATAATTATTCCTTACAGGTTTTTTGTGGACATATATTGCACAAAAGACAGGCGTTTTCTCACTATCAACAGCAACAGCAAGACCACCTCGGAAGTTTGGCTGGTTGACTGTAGACATCCTTTTAAGTCACCTGCTCTTGTACAAGCACGAACAGAAGGAGTCGTTTACCACATTGAACACAGAGATGACGAGTTATATATTCTTACTACGTATGGAGAACCTGCAGAATATAAGGTAGTTTTAACTGATAATAAGATTCATTCAGGTAACTGTTGCAGATCATATAGAAATAGTAAAGCTGGCTTTTAATTCTGTACTTCATAGGTTATTGAAATAATTTTAGAGAATTACACTGAAAGACTGATAGAAATACACGGAGACTTACCTGCTGCATGCCAGATTGATTCTAACTCCTTTGGCAACATCAATAAATGAATATGCTTTAACAGTCATTTCTCCTATATTAAAATTTAAGTTGGCTATCTCAGTCTATATAACCAAACCACCTACACTTCTGGCCATGCTGAGAGCACTTACTGCATTAAAATTTCCTACAGATTAATCTATGAGAACTGAACTTTTCTGAATGTTACTGAATTGTTCTTCCATTTTGCCCAAGTGAAGGGAGTTTCAAAGCCTCCAGTTTTAGTCAGGTAACCCCCCCCCCCCCCCCCCCCAATATGAACTAAAACATTTTTGCAATAAAGATGTTGTATGAGTGCACTTTAATGTCTGTACATCTTATTCATAACTCTTACCTACATCTTGGTTTTTAGCTGATGAAGGCACCTGTAGCTGCCAGCGGCAAGGAGAACTGGCAGTTGGTTTATGCACTGGAAAAGAAAACCAAGCTAGTAGATTTGGAGATGTTCAGTGATCACTGTATTATGTTCCTGAAGAATGCTGGTCATCTTTACTTAAATGTGATTTCTTTTGTTTCACATTCAGTTCGGTCAATAAAGGTATGTTTTAACACTATTATATATATATATTTTTTTTTTTAACATTATGATGAAGACAAAGATAAATTCCAAGAGTAGAAATTGTTTGGAAACTGTAATACTGCCAAGTATTATGCCTACTGTACATTACCTGTGGCTGGTTTTCATGTGGCGGCTTACTACAGCACTTAGAAAGTTAGAGAGCAGCTATCCTATGATACAGTTCTTTCTTCAGCTTATTACAGTCAAGCTTTTTACAATACAGCTGATTTCTAATGTAAAATAGGACTTGATTCCCTAAACACTCCACTTGGTTTTACTGGGCCTATTTTTGGTTACATTCATCAGCATAAGCAAGGAAATAAACCTGGCCCTCCCACAGAAGAAACATCAGAACATTCCAAAGACAAGTATGGACACTGTCCTATAATGAGTGGGAAGAGTTGATGTTGCAGTAGAATTTGTGCAAAGTATTTCTTCCTTTCTCTAGTTGTTGCTAAATACTTGTGGATTAAAACCAAAATGACTCAATTCAAACCCATGATTCCTGGAGGCCATTCAGGCGAAATACTTGATTGATTTGTTTGCCTGAAAAATACAATCTGAACTACTCCCAAGTTTATTGCGACAAGCTACCAATGCTGCATTCTATAGAACTGCTACAGAAAAAGGTTTTCAACAAAGTGCACTGTATGCTCTCTAAAACCTTCATTTTTGAATATGGTCGTAGTTTATTTATTCAGAAAGGGTCTGCACTTACTCTGGAGAACTTGGACTTCTGCTGCCATTTCAGATGTCACTAGCAACCCAACCCAAGTAAGTAGTAGTCTGGCAGAGGGTTTGACTGTGTCCCTGCGGCTCTCGGAGAATGAATCTTGATTTCTTTTATTCTTAGCAGAGTTAAAAATCTTAAATATAATAACAGTAAGTGTCTGAAGGTGAACGTGCCAGGAAAAGGTTTTGTTCTTCAACAATGGCTGGCACTAGGAGCAAAGTTAAGAGGCAGGGGTTTTCAGTGGCTTAGCATTACTGAGCTAACTCACAGCAAAGGCTTAACAACTGACATGGACTTGGCTGTATAACATGTTGAAGTAGAACTGAAAAATCAGGGGAAATAGGATCTAAAAAATAAAAACCATGCAGAATCATTTCAAAGAATGTTTTAATGAAAACCTGCACTAATGCCCATTTGAAACTGAACTTGGATTTATTTTCCCTTTTTTTTTTTTCTATTTCATTGTACAGCTTTATCCCATGGCCTTAGGGACAAAGTTTGCCAATGTCTTTCAGTTTTTGACTGTTTCATTACCGAGCTTAAAAAAAATACTCATTGTGCTACAGACAAGCGGAAGATACTCAGAATCTTTTTCTCTGAAGGACACGCTAGGCAAAATTTACAGAAGCAGTGTAAGGGTCGGTCTCACTTGAAATGCCATGTTTTCTCAGCTACCTACGTGGGCCTGTGAATTTGAATTGGAATCTCGACCTGAACATACCACCAGCGCTTGCTATTTTCAGCTCACCTCCCCGGTACACCCCCCTAAGCGTTTTGCATATTCATTTAAAGAAAATAATCTCATTGAACCAGCTGTGCAAGAGGTACCAATTATTACGAATTGTCACACTACACGTTTACTAGCTAAAAGCAAGGTGAGAATTTTGCAGTCCTTTTCTCATTCCTTTTATTCTTCCCTACCTCCCCACCCATTTAAAGAAAATGCATTTGGCAGGGAATAGAGATTAAAAAATGTAAAGAGCAGTTGGTGCTATAGTTACTAAACAGTGGGTGTTTTCTCCAGTGCTACAGGGAAGAACAAGAAAGAGTCGTGATATTTTTTTTTTCATTAACCTGGGTATGCTAAAGGAGATAATGGTACATGATGAGTCAATACTCTTGGTATGGTATAACTTAGAATTGCTAGTTGATACGCAGTGTCATGCTCTCCATGATAAATGAAAAGGGTGCCAGCTGTTGGAAAGAACACCCCACAACCAGCTGCACAGCATAGGTCAGGAAAGGAAAGTTTTAACAGCCTGAACATAAAAATTTGGAGATGTTAATAAAGAGTTTGTGCTGCAGTAAGTGGTAAACTATTTTGTTAATAATAGCTATTCTTGGTGTTAACAGGGGAAGGGAGACTTGGGTACTTTGGTAGTTTAAAAACTCCTCAGGTGTTGCACTTAAATGAATTTTATACTCTGCATCCGTAAGCCTACACAGCAGAGGTTCAGTCTCTTGCTTTATTTTTCAAGAGTGCTTTGTACATTATAAGTGAAAAAAATTACTGTAATCAGAAAAACACATTTTAAAATAAATAATTGAAGTTTTCATTGCTATGTGTCATTGAGATTTCTGCAATGTCCTTTATTGTAAAATACTCCTTCTTTTCCAGGATGAAACTTTGGTGCCAATTACAGTTTTTCATAATAGGAATTCTAAAGAGCTACACAGGAAACCACTTCTAGTTCATGTATATGGAGCTTATGGCATAGATTTGAACATGAGCTTTAAAGAAGACAAGCTGATGTTAATTGAGGAGGGCTGGATATTAGCATATTGCCATGTTAGGTAAGTTAAATAGAAAATGGCATTCAGATTTTAATCTGTGGGATATACAGGTATTTCTTGGTATGCAACTAAAGAGGTACAGTAATACTTTTTTTTCATGTAGCTATACCCAGTTGTTCATGCTTTTCACTTCCATCTCATTTTAGAATTTTTTAAAAGTAGTTTTAACAAAAAAGTGAATTTACCTCAGGAAAAAAAAAAAGTACTTTCAAGACCACATACTGCAGGTAGGTTTCTGCAATCGACAGGATTGCTGTGTGCAGCTTTTTGTCTTTTGACACCTCATTACTTCTTGTCTCACCTTAGCTCAAGAAAAGTTTTGGTAACACTCAAATTGCAGTGACACGCTACCTCCCTCTCTTTCCAAGAGTATTGTGTACTGATGTTCGGTCTGCATCTTCTGAAAGCCATTTGCCTTCTACAGCAACTACTTAAGCATTTAACTGGCATTTCTACTTCTTTTACTGGCTAAATCCTCTTGTCTCCAGTTTAGGTACAAACCTACTAGTTTTATGTAACCACTGTAATTCTTACTTCACATTTTCATTGAGATAATAATTCAGTAGCTAAAGAAGAGAGCAAAAAAATTGCTTTATGGAGGAGAAGAAACACCAGTTCCAAAACAAATTCAGTATACAAATACATTCAATCTGCTATAGTTGGTGACAAGCATTGTGCTGTTCTTCCTCCCACCCCTTTAAGTACCTTAAGTCAGGCCTAGATGAAGATGGATTCTTCATCCAAAGTTGAAGAAATTTGGCAGACGACTCAGTTAATTTTAAACTTGAAACCCGAATGAGGAGACTTCAGGTGGTTTAGAACTAAAATCGTGGTTGTGTAGAAAGAAATAGAAATAAATTTTTAAATCCTGTATTACAAAATAGAACATTTCAAATAGTATCTAAAATCCACAAACTAGAAAAAAAGCCCCACTTTCTAACACTCTCAGAATTTAAGCTGTACAGAAGACAAATCCTGAGGGCCTCAGTGTGGAGCTGAGAAATACAATTTTACTGGTTTTAATAAATGCTGGTGTTAGTTATATAAGTAGTCAAAATCTTTCAGTTACTTTAATAGCTTCCCGTAGAAAAAGATAATGTCTGATTTTGTATTGCCTACAGTGAGGGTGGCATTTCCTAAAGTGATGGTTTTTCCTGTGAGTTCCAGGACACAAAGGCAAGGAATACGCCTGTGCAGTTAGTTAGGATTTTCACCATTCATCGTGCACAGATGTTTTTGCTTGAATGTTTTATCCACAAAGGCGGGTAAAGACAAGCATAGAGAAGAGTTAACTGGGAAGGGAAGCTATGGTTTCACAATTCTGAGGCTGCTGATGTCCTTTCATTAACTGAAGCTTTGCTGTGTAATGTTTTCCAAAGAGACTCCAACTTGACTTGCTTTAAATTTCAGGGGTGGAGGAGAGCTAGGCCTTAGCTGGCACAGAGATGGGTGCCGGCATAATAAACTCAAAGGGCTCCATGACCTCAAGGCTTGCATCATGCAGCTGCACGAGCTAGGATTTTCTCAGCCAAAATACACAGCACTAGCAGCTGCCAGTGCTGGAGGAGTTCTTGCAGGAGCCCTGTGCAACACTGCTCCAGAACTCGTCAGAGCCATGGTTTTACAGGTGAGGTGCTGCAGACCTTGCATAAATTATGATGTTCAACTGTGTCTTTGGTTCATTCTACCAGTTTCAGAATTGGAAACATTCCAATTCAAAGTTCCCTTTCCTCATTTGAGAAAACCTTGAACTAGACCTGTGAGGTCCTCTGTCCTATTTGCTAATTTTTCTTTTTCAATAACTTCTAAGGCTCCTTTCGTAGATGTCCTAAATACAATGATGAAAACTCATCTCCCACTGACAGTTGAAGAACAGGAGGAATGGGGAAACCCATTAGCAGATGAAAAATGTATGAAGTATATCAAAAGCTATTGCCCATACCAGAATATTAAGCCACAGGTAAAACTATATTCTCTGTGTGGAATAGTACTGTAATATAACAGTTTATGATAGAACAAAAAGTGGAAACTGGAATTTTTTTAAAAAAGCCTATTTTACCTTTTCAGTGCTTTAAACCCCGGTGACTTTAGAATTGTCTTTGCTGCTGCTTTGTGTGAAAATGAATTATTAATACAAATATGAACTATTTCAGTAATGATCTTGGCAATATTTGGAGTCATAAAAGACCCCTGAAATCAATCCTAAATAATCCACAGGTTTCAAAACCAGCTGTTGTTACAGGACTGCCAGGAAGTAATAGATTATTCTGTCGTATAACAACCTTAATATGTAGAATACCTTCTACTTTTGTGGTATTACAGTAAAATAAATAGAGAAAAATCTGTTACTTTATGAGAAAAATCAGTTGTCAAGTATTGAACTGGTTTTGGTTTTTAATCTCAGTGTTACCCTTCAGTTTTTATCACGGCGTATGAAAACGATCAACGGGTACCACTAACAGGAGTTTTACGATATGTTCAGAAACTTAGGAAGGCTGCACTAGATCATGCCAGCGCAACAAGTGAGAAAGGTAAGAAAAAGATAGAGCTAACTAAACCAGAATATTAGTAAGTCATGTAATTAAACACTATAGTGATTGACTCTTCCTTAGAAGCATTCATTTGTACAGTACAATCCAGTATCTAAAGCTCTGGAGTAATTTCTGTTACCTGCAGAGATGAGATGTGCAGTCACACTGACACATAAACCTCAGCTTCTTGAGATGCACTCTCCAGAGCCTTAAGAGGGTTCAGATATCTCTGTATTGTAGACCTGCCTGAAATAGTTCAACCCATGTGTTAAATGTGAAACATGATAAACCACGACAGGCTAAGGAAACCCTCTTTGAGATGAAAAAGACTAGGAGAATATGAGTGGGGCTTACACTTTCCTAGGCCTCAACATTTGGTGACTACTGGGCAGTGCTAGATGAACCCATACTGTCTAGTCCAGCTACTGATATATTCAGCCTGCAGTTCTCAGCAACACATGGATAAAAATCACTTTTGCTGCTCTACAAAAAACTGCTTTTCCCAGTTTGCTCCAACTGCAGGTGTTAGTCCAAGTTAGAATAACAGTAATGCCAAGGCAGGGACACTTTTATACCTGAAAGTTAACACTAGCTTTGGGACTGTTTCCAGCAAAAGGTAACACTCAAGCCTTACTATTTTCTAGTACCACCCAATCTGGGGAGAGGCTTTTACCATCAGTACCAACAGAGATCTTGAATTAGCTTTTCTACATTTCATTGTGCTCCTTCTCTGCTAGCAGCACAACTGCAGTGATTGAGAAGGGATAGGAGATACTGTAATTGCTGCTGCTTTCTTTGCTCAGAAATTAAAAAGCATGTCTTTCCAAAGAAACTCAGCGAGAACAAAGATGCTAAACATACAAACACTTTTCAAGCATATAGTTAACAAAAATACAAACAGTCCATCCAGCAAGCCCCTATATGATTCTCTTCTTAAGCAATAACAGAAATTCTGTCAGGACAGGAGGCAGAATGACCTATCCTGAACAACTCACATCCTCACTTACCCTTTTCCTTGTTCATTCAATGTCAAGTGATCGCTAGCTTCACTGTTCCAGGAAATTGGATCCCTAATATCATCTTAGACATCCAGGCAAGCGGGAGTCATTGCGATTCATCTTGGGAGGATTCACTGAACGAGGTATGCTCCCTTTGCTGCACAAAGTCATAACGTGGTGGAGGCAGGTGTCCCCTTCTTGGGTACTTCAGCCTCAGTAGTTCATGGAATGTATGCTTGAATGTGTGTTTGAAGTATCAAAAGAAAAAGAAAACAGACCTGCTGGAATTAAAGTTGCTCGTGCAACCTTTTATAAATATTGCAAGAGCAACTTCTGGTTCTAGATATGTATAAAATTCAGTAGTTTCTTATGTGTATATATATACACATACCCAGATAATTTTATATATTTATCAATATATAATTTTTAGAGATATAGAAGAGCCAGTGACAGAGCCAGATTATTTGACCTCATCATGCCTTAAAACCCAAAATAGTGTTAAATGTCCATTGTAATGTACTGAGAGCTTTGAATTAAAGTTTCTAAGTTGTGCCAAACATCGTTCCAGCAGGAAGAGTCTTGAACTGTAGAGCAGTAAGTGCCTAAAATTGTCATACTGGCTCTTCCATCTTCCTCATGAGTAAAACATATGTGATGGGTTTGATCTTTACGTAAGCTGTACTATCAAAAGAATGCTACTACAATTAGGTTTCAAGACTTTGCCCGTTGTACAAGTGTACATGTTAACAGCAGCATACTGCCAAGACCTGACATACCATTACCAATGTCTCAGACTATCACAGTTGGATACAAATTTTATTACTGTTAATTTTAATAAATCCTAGCAAATGTTATTTGGTGGTTGAGACAGTTATTCCCAAAGTTAATTCTTTCAGGAAAAGCCTCATTCTGTCCTAGGTTAAGGTATTGCTTAGTATTAGTATGGGAAAGGAATAAGATTAGAATAACTGTACAAGAACCTGAAGGTTTATGGAGCAAAGAATTTTTCTGTTTTGTAATGAACTATTATCGTTGTTTTAGGTTGCAAGACACCTTGCTTTTCTGAACAAAGAACTTGAAGTATGCCATCTCCAACATCATAGCAAACCCTGCAAATAAACACATTGACCACCTGAAGAACTTGGGGTCAGATTTTTATTTATATAAAAAGTGAACACAGTCTCCAGAGGTAGCTCCTCTTGGATCCCTGCTTTGTGGGCATAAGCAGACAAATTCAAAGACAAAGTTGGATATAGCATTGGCTTATAAACATACAAACTAATAGCCAAATTTCTTCCCTGCCAGATAGTACAGAAGTAGCCACCTGCATTAATCAATCTGTTCAGTACCGTTCTCACATAAGCGAGCAGTGCAGCACTGTTCACAACAGTTAGTGTGCAAAGCCCAACATGTGAAGGACATGCACTTCGTGCTCACAGCCTTGACAGTTTAAGACCTCTCTGTCAAAACCACATTTTACACAAGGCAGTAAAACTCCCAAGAAGTATTTGATTTAGAAGTCTCACTGGTTAGAAGTCTTCTAAAACTAATCCCCGTGTGTAGGGGATGATGACTGTTGCCCTTCCTAGCTACGTCACAGCCATAGTGTACTCATCATATGGTGGGATCAGAAAAACTGCAAAAAAGAAATGGTTCTTTTTTGAGTTAGTTTTTAAATCTTAAGAGTTCTAAGATTCAAGAACAGGAATCTTAGAACTCTTTCATCTGAGTAGATTCAAAATCTTGCAGGTACCTTAACTAGCATGATAATCTTTAAAAAAGAGGTGCCAAAGTCCTCCAGAAGACAAGATGAATACCCGAGAAGGGGATGCCAGAGCTTCTCCAGAGGATAAAACACAAAGGACGACCCCACTGAAGCAGCCTGCCTCATACTGAGCTGAGCTCTGAGCAAGGCACCAAACTGCTGCACATTATTTGTTAACACACATGTTTGGGGCAGCTAATGGTACCATTAGTGAAAAATACACTAGGCAGCCATAAGGTCCTCAAACCAAAATAGAGTTCCCCAAATCACCCCTATGTCAAAAACAGGTTGCACTAAGTCAAATGCTTATCCTTCCTGTGTGTCACTGTAGGTATAATGTAGGTACACCCAGTAGAGATCAAAACCTGTGAACAAGTGTGACATTCAGTAGAGTTGTTTCCGTTGCTTACTCTGAGCTAACATTTGCCCACCTCACCTACCTACTTGGGTAGAAAAAGGAACTGAGGAATGCGAATGCACTCTTAGCAGGGTACATGGAGGGGAGGAGGGGGTGTGAGACAATCAATTGGAAATGCAGTCCTGAGTGTAGAATTGGGCATATTTGCTATATTTTCTTGTTGTTCTTATTAATTTTGAGGATAATCAGCGCTCTTAGAGTTGAGAGAAGAGGTAAAGCATCACAACTTTTTATATTAGACTTGCTTGCTTTTACCTCTTTTAACAAATACAGGGCCACCTTTAGGGTCCGTTTTGCACATCTACAGCCATTTTTACAGTTACTTCATGAACTGCTACCGGCTTTAGATTCTGCAGGAGCTCTGAATGACCAGCAACCATAAGGACAGCACCCAGGAAGCACCTTTTCTCTTTCCTCACAGAAGTACATGCACTTAAACAGGGCAGTTTTCTAGAGCAGATGTACTTCTTTTCTCCACAGACCTTAAGGGTAAGTCTGTACCATACTTTTTCCTATCCATCACCAGTACAGATGCAAGACAATTTGGTATCTGCTTTATTTTTCAGGACATTTATTTTGTACACAGATGAAGTTTTAAAGGACAAAGTGAAATTTTTGAATGCTTCCCTGAAACCAATGCTTTCTAAATCAACATGGAAGCTTGGGTATTCTACTCCTGCACTTAACAGGTTGAATAGAGTAAATTGAAGGCACTGGAATAACAAGCTTTTTCTGCCACAAAACAATTTGTTTGAAAAGCTTTCATAGTGTGAACGGGCTTTGCTGTTTTATATTCAAGGATGAGGCCTTCTCCCATTTCAGTTTTAATTTGTTCAGTATTGACAGCTTTACCAGCATCACTAAAATTAGTACTTAGTCTTATAGTAGCTTTAGGGGGAAGATTAGGAATGACAGCTTTCAGGTCAATTGTTGATTCCTGCCCAAAATTGAGAACCATCAGAAAGACTGTGTCTAACCCATCCAGTTCCCTCACATACACAAAAACATTGCTGTCATTCCAGATGTAGCACATCCAGCCCCGATGAATGGGGAGCTCATTGTTGCGAAGCGAAGTTAGCTCTCTGTACAAATTCAGGGTTGAGTTGGACCAGGTCATCTGGATCTGCAACAGCCAGCATTAACAGGGTCATGTCTTTGTACTGAATGTAGGAAATGCTGCTTACCTTTCACATCCACCCAGCCTGCTGAGAACACACGTAGTAGAATTCCGTTTTGACAATTATCTCTTATCATATTTGTCTGCAGATCCCACTGAAAAACTGCTTTTTCACATACACTTCCTTGGCATTTATGGAGTGGCAGAGACAGAGATTATGAGGTATGGCAGAATTTCCCCAGCTCTAACAACTGTTTCTTCCTCCCATGGTGTCCTAGTACTGTTACTGAGCTTTTTTTATTGAGTCTTATCTACTGAAGCCACAGGTTGGTTTTGTGGTTTATGTTTTCCTGACTTAGATTTACTTTTTCTGTCTTCAGTTCTGGTCAGCGCTGGAGAGCAGCAAAATCTGTTCAATTCACTGTTCTGCTTAAGAGATGGTCTATGGTTCTTATTACAAGGACAGTGCTTTCCATGGTAATAGA